TACTCTCTGGATTATTTAACTGTATTTTAAGTATTTAAATCAGAACTCAAAGTTAGATTACTTGACATCTTAACAATATGGAGTCTTTCTATGAACATGGTACATCTCTTACTTTAGTATTTATTTTCTTTCAGGGTGTTTTATAATTTTCAGCATTCAGATCCTGCACACACTTGATTAGATTATTACCAAAGTATTTCATGAATTTTGGGGCACTAGTAAAAAAGTGCAGTTCCTCAAATTTCTATTTCTAGTTGTTAATTCTTTGCATTTCAAAATGTAATCAATTTTGTATATTGATATTTTATCCTGCAACTTTATTAAACTCACTTATTCTATTAACTTCTTGCAGATTCCTTGGGATTTTCTAGATAGACAAACATTTTATCTAAAAGTAGAGTTTTATTTCTTCCTTTCTAATCTATATGTGCCTTTTATTTCTTTTTCTCTAATACAATTTTGGATACAAATGTTAACTGACAGCCCTAGATTCTAGTCACTGGGGGTAAACATTTAGCCTTTCACCATTAAGACTAAGAGTAGATATAGTTTTTATAAATGTCAGGTTAAAGAAACTCATTTTTATTACTAGCTCACTGAAAGCCTTTATTATAAATGGATGTTGAATTTTGTTTAATTTATATCTATTGTAGTGATCATGTATTTTGTTTTCCTTAGGCTATTTTATTTTAATTCTTTTTGGCACTAGATTTAACACAGGGTTTCACATATCCTAGGCAAACAGTATAGCACTGAGCTATATTTCCAGTCCTTTTTTGAACTTTGTTTTGGGACAAGGCCTCACTAAGTTGCCCAGGCTGACTTCAAATTTAGGATCTTTTTCCCTCAGCTTCCCAACTAGTTGGAATTACAAGCTTGTGCCACTGTACCCAGGTTTCCTTAGTCTTTAGATAAGGGTGAATTATATTGATTTGAGAATTTTGAACCATCCTTAAATTCCAAGGGCAAATCTCACTTGGTCTTGATTTCTTTTAATATTGCTGGATTCAATTTGTCACGTTTTTATTAAGGATTTTTACATATGTATTTATGAAAGAGATTGGCAATTTTCTTGTCGTTTATTGTCTTTACTGGTTTGGTGTGTAACAGAGTAATACCGTTCTCTAAAAATAAGTTTGGAGATAGTGCCTTGTCTATTTTTTGGATGAGTTTGTTTATAACTGGTTTCATTTAGAACTGGTTTAGAACTGGTTTAGAACTGGTTTCATTTCTTCTTTGAAGAATTGGTAGAGCCAGGTACAGTTGTACCTGCTTCTAAGGCCAATGTTTTGGGAGGCTGAGGCAGGAGGATTGCAAGTTTGAGCCCAGTCTGGGCAACTTACTGAGTTAGTGAGACCTTGTCTCAAAATAAAGAATAAAAAGGGGTGGGGGTTTAGTTCAATGCAAAGGCCCTGGATTCAATTTCAAGTTACACAAAAAAAGAAAAAATAAAAAGAATGAGGAAAAAGGAAAAGAAAATATTGGTAGAATTCTCCAATAAAGTCACCTAAGTTTTGATTTTTTGTCATGGTTATTTTGGAATGTTGTATACTGCAAGTTCAGTTTTTTAAAAAGATATAGAACTATTTGGATTTTTTTCTCTAAAGTGAATATTACCAGTTTTTGTCTGTCAAGCAATAACTCCATCTGATCTAAATTGTCATATGTGGCATCTTTTTTATTTCTGTAGCAATAAAGCATTTAAATATCCTGTAGGCCGGTACTTCTCACATATACTGGTTTACTGCATTATAGCCAGAAATTGTAGCCTCCATAATTTTTATACTTTATAGTACATTTTGGTGCTTTGCATCTTATTACAAGATGAACTTCTTTGATTATTTCACAGAAATTTTTGAAAAAATGTGTCCTCTGCACAATAAATATATTGTATAATTATTATATTATATATTATATTGTATATGTTGTATATCTATAATAGCATTTATAGAAAGATACTCAGACTTATCATTGCTACCAACATTGTGCTCCCAAGGGAAAAACATCCCTCGAAGACCAATCCAAGGCAAAGGACTCTCCTGGATACTTTGGAACTTCCTTTCCTAACCTCAGTAGAGGATCATACTGAACATTATGTTGGAGTCAGGTCTACGGCCTGACTGCTATACAGTATTCTGAGTCTACATTACAGGAATATGGCCTTGTATGTTGTGGATAGTTTGGCAGAAAGTCGGAGTGCTCAGATGAAAGCAGAAATACTACAGAATCTCTCCAGTGCAGTTAGTGCTTTGAGTTCTGGCCCCTTCCCCTCCCCAGCACTTTTACCTGAGAAAGAAGAGACATGACCTGCCCCTCATATGGATCCATGTTCAATATAGTCTAACTAGTGTTATTTAAGTTCTACATTCTAGCAACAAAAATGCTTTCATCATAGTTGATTTTTTTGCTTTGACTTCAACTTTGATGTTAATATGAGCTACTTTAAATGTTTTAAGATTTAGCATCTCATGTCTTTATCAATGTATTTTCAAATTAATTTTGTCACATATATAGTATACAGTTAATCTAGTTTTAAACTTATCTGGAAGTATTGTTAGTATTAATATAGAAGTAATGTGTATTTATGATTTTTTGTATGTTTGGGTTGTTTCTTTTTTTATTATCATTCGGCTTTGCTTTCTGTATTAAAACATGCTCTTCATATTTTCTCTAAATTTTTTCTATATTTTGTTATTGGCTTTCTATTTCCTTCATTTTTGCTGTTATGAAACTTACATGTCTATTTTTGTCTATCAGTATCTATACCTTAATCCTTAAAAACATAATTGTAGCTTTCTTTCTTTATCGATATTCAGATTGTACTTTGGAAAGATAACTAATGTGATTTGGTTTTACTTCTGTCTTCTTCCCAACCTTAAACCCCAAATTGTATGAGAAGACCTACAAATCCATACTATTATTAATTCATTTTCTTTTCTTATTGATAATTTATTATTTACCTTTGTTTTTAGAATAACCTACTTACATTTTCACAGGCTACATTTTTCATGCCACATTAACAGTTTTCATTTACATGTGGTTCTACTTCTCTTTTATTTACCACCTTTTCTGTATAAGGCTTTTTCCTCATTTCTATATCTTTATTTTGGTTAATTTCTACTGGCTTGAGTGTTGCTTTGCTTTTAGGAGGGATGTGTCTGCTAGGCTTTGAGCTGCTGCGTGTTGGAGTATATGATTGTTGCTCTCAAATATTAGCAGCGCTTTACCTGGATAAAGACTTCTCAAGAAACTGTTAACTGCAAACTTTGCACACAGGTTGAAGCTGCACTTACACAGCACACTTTTAAAGCAATAACAGCAGGAAGGCCATATTGAATACTTATTTACAGTAGTTTTGGAGGGTGCTGCAAGAAATTGGAGGGGCTAAATCCTCCTTTGTGCCCCATTATTCTCACAGACATGGTTTATATGTTACTTTGTCAGGCAAATTTTGCTCTAGGACTGGAGAAATGAAAGGATAGATACTGAGCAAATTCAGGTTTACTCTAACATATTCTTACTACCTGGAGATCTGGTAGACTCTGTGGGATCAGAAGGGCCTCGTATGCAGAGAATGGCAGCCCCTAGGAATAATTCACTTCTTTTGCCAGTCAGCCCCCTGCGATGAACATCACTCTTCCTCTCCAAGCCTGGGCAGAGGTAGTAGGAGCAGGTAAAGGAGGGAAGATTAGAAGCATTGGAGATTCCCTGTGTCTCATCCATGGCCAATTTAGGCAGTGTCTGGTTTTGCTCAGTATCTATCCTTTCATTTCTCCAGTCCTAGATACAGGCTATGAGCACTGTCTTTGGATCTATTCACTAATGGTACAACTTTGGACCTATATTAGAGGGTTCAACAGCAACAAATGACTCCACAGTGACTACCTTCTGTCCAGTTATTGTGTGAACAGAGACATTACTGCAAACTCTATCCAGCAGGATCTCCTTCCTTTGATAATGGAAATAATCCTTTCTTTAGGGTATTTTTCCTTTCAGTTATATCTGTCTTAGTTATTTTTCTCACTGCTGAGACAAAATACCTGACACTCAATGTTAAGGGAGGACAGGTTTATTTAGCTCACATTTTGTAGGGGTTTCCATCCATAATTGGCTGGCTTCAGGGTAGGGTGGCATGGCAGACAGGCATTGCAGAGGAGATACAGTTTATGGTGGGTAGAAAGTAGCAAAGCAAGTGAAAGAGCTTCACAGTGTGTTTCTGAGCCTTTTATATTCTTTCTAGGGTACCAGGATTCAGGCAGGTGCCAAACCAATCAGTCTACTGATTTAGTAATCACTCATCCTTAATTCTAGCACCTTTAATCCTAGCATTGCACCATGGATCAGTCACACACTCTATATCCACCCACCACTGAGAAACCCCACCTATGACCTCATGAGGCTCTGGGAGGACATCCAGATACAAACCATAGCAATATCTTACTAAAATTACTTATCCCCAAAGTGCATTTGCAATCTCAAATGAAACTCTCATTAATGTTCGTCTGTTCCTTTGGTATCTAATTTTAAGAGATGAACATGAAAGGATGGGAAAATAATTTGCTCCCTGATCACATCCCTATAGTCCCTTATTTCATTACTGTGGAAACAGGTCTAGCCAAGGAACAATGACTCGCTTCAGGATCCCACAGTTTCTCAATGGAAGAACTGGAGCTGGAATAGAGTACATCTCTCTTTTACCCCTGTCTTCTGTCTCTGGGCCATGTTGCTTTAGTTGATGATTCCAAGCTTAGTATTACTTTAAAGTTAATATTGGAGGTTTATCCAATTTTGTGTTTTATTCATGTATTGTAGATAGGAAAGTTAAAAAAGCTCATTAAGCAGAAACAAAACTTGTAGTTATTAGTAAAAGTCAATTTGTTATATAACTTCTGAAAAATTTCCTTTTCAATTCATATTTATAAAAATATTTGCTTTTGTTAAATTAATAATATATGTTAGAGGAAATATGTGGTTAATTTCACTTTCATTAACTTTTGCAGCAACAAGATTAAGAAAATTGTGCGTTTAATTGTATCATCTGCTGCATTCAGGTATGTGAGGGTCTAGAAAAGGAAGTAATTAAATATGTGTGACATTTAATATGAATTTTTTATTTCTATTTTTTGGTACTGGGAACTGAACACAAGACCTTGCACTTGCCAGGCAAGCACTTGTGCCACTGAGCTATATCCCCAGCCCCAATATCAATTTTTTAGTGTAAAAGAATTATTACTGAGCAAACCAGAAAAATAAAAAGCATTCCATATAAACATGTTGCTAAATAATCTTTGTACTTACGTTAAATATAGTCTAATTTATCTTGAAATTTTGGTTTAAGATGAACATTAAAACTTTCAAAGAAATGACATTTGCCTAAGTAGTAGCATATTAGTATATTTTTTCTATCTGTAAAAGAAAAACAATGAAGCCTACATTTTAAGATTCTGTAATTATAGGTAAAATATTTTATTAAATGGCTTACATATCTAAAATTACTCCTTAATTCTGGAAACATTTTACTTAATCTTCTGTTCTACATTAGAGTAAGATTTTGTATCCAGATTTACACAGTGAAATTTCTTCCTTTTAAATTACTTGTATTCTAGAGCCAGGGATATAGCTCAGTGGCTTAAATTACTTGTTTTCTAATTTGAGTTACAATTATAAAAAATGCTTTCATAGATTATGCATGTAATCAACCTGTGGGGAATGTGCTGAGAATATTTAAGAGAAAGTCTTAGGTGGCATTTACCAGTTCAATCCTACAAATATTTATAGAATTGAATTCTTTCTATTCTGCCTATCACCATGCTAGAAGTGCCTATGAATATGTGATCTTGTCCTTGTTGAAAAACTCACTGACAAAAAAAAGTCTTATTGGTCAAAGTGATCTTTAAGAGCTTATGTTAGTCGTGCCTTCACTTGGTTTTTATCACTAAATTCTCAAAAATTATTCATATTATTAAGATTTATTATGAGAAAATGGTAGAAAATCCCTATGAAGTTCTCAAAATTTAGAGTTTACACATAGAGATGATTAATTTTAATTTACTTTTCTTCTATCTTGGAGTTAGTCTGCTGTATCTTTGGCAGGAGTGCATAACAACATACTTTAGAGGAAGTTTTATTCACTAGTAACTACTTGTATTGGGAGAAAACAGTGATTTTTTGAGATTCTAAGGCAATCAATTTTTTCTGTCACTGGATAGTTTAATGCCAAATAATTTTGGTATCTGATTATTTCCTTAGTTTTGTCTAACTATGGGGGCAAACCCCATTATCTTTATTATCTTTATTTATTTTAGCGTATTTGGAATTTTGCTGATCTTTGTGGACTTGTCTCTCGTCATTACAGAACTAATTTTCACTGAAGTCAACGATTATATTCCTTTGGAATATTGTTCAATTTCTTTAGCTATTGCTTTATTTTTTGTCATGGATGTTCTTCTTCGAGCATATGTAGAAGGGTAAGCTTGATTTTTTTTTTTTTTAGCATGAAGCTATTTTGTGTTGTCATAAGAAACACCCCTAAATAATTAACAGATCACCTCAATGAAATGTGTCCTTCTTTATCAAAATAATACTCCGTGCACCCATTGTCCACTGAGAAGCAACCATTCACACTCGGTTTCTCATAAATTGGGTTTTAATAGTGTTACTGTTGCAACTGGCACTTCATTGTTCAAAAACGTATTTTAGATGGTGCTTTCAGTAAACTTTGAAGGGATTTTTAATCAGGCAGTTGGTGTGTCTACAAGTACATTAGTAAATGAATATGTATGAGAGACACAAAAATTAGTACTTTCATTGAGTTGAAGTCCCCCCCAAAAAAGGTAAATCCCAAGTAATAGTTGATAGTATATTACATATATCATGAATAACCCCTATATCATATATCATTAATGTATATCATGAATAAATATATAATGAATAACCTCTATATTAAAAACTTCTGTTATGATGGGGAGGAGATCTGAGATATGCTCAGCCCATCAGCAAGACTTGGTAGCACAACAGGGTTGATTTTCTCTGCTTCCTGGTTTTCTGAGAAGGTGGGTGGGTGAGTCAAACTTTGACAATGGATTTCTGTGGGAGTCAAGGACTAAGTCGCCCAGCCTCACTGTTCCAGAACATTTCACAAGCAGTTTATCTCCTTTCTTGATGACTTGTTATTCTCCTGACTTTGAGCTAAGGACAGTTGCCCCTATCAGATTACTAAGAGCTTGTAAGAGCCTACCTCCAAATCAGAAGCTTTCTCTGGAGCTCCAGTGCTCAGGTCTGAAAGGGTCAGTGGTGGGAAGGGAGCAGTGGTGAGGGGAAGTCTGCCCTTACTGTGGGGAGGGGGCCGCAGTCCACTGGGACCCAAAGTGGGTGCAATGCCAGACTGTGAGTTCAGATTAGTGGGCCTCTTTCCTCGTAAGCTCTTGGACATGCCTCACAATCCTAGTTGCTCTAGAGCTCTGACATATTCCCATTCCACTGTCCAAAAGTACTGCCAAGCATCCCGCTTTTCTTATCCCACGAGAGAAGGCCACACTCACCACTCATTCAATGGTTTGATTATATTTCTTAGTAAGCTTAAACTGTCGTAATGATGATTTTTAACACACATACATATAATGTAAATTTATTGCTTGAAAACGTTCTATTAATATATTTTCCCTTGTTCCAGTCTAGCCCTTACAACAATCTGTTAAAATAGAATTCTTAATGAATATGAGTCAATTTGTACTCTTAAAATATTCCTATTTCTTTTTTGTGAGCATAAACATTTTTTATTTTTTATTACAGGAAACAGCATTACTTTTCTGATTTCCTTAACAACATAAATGCAGTCATTACTGGGGTGATTCTGCTGGTCGACATCCTTTACTTTCTTCATAGCTTGATGTTTATTAGTGGTATCCCCAGGTATGGAATGTATGATTTCTCAAAATTCTTCTTTCCTTTCAAGCATTTTCTATGTCTTTAATTTTGTATAATCTTTTAAACTTTAAGTGTTTTCATTGTGTGACAAATAAGGTGTTTCAAAACACAATGTTTAGGTAAATTTCCACATACTTTGAAATGAAAAGATAGTGGAAGTTAGGTGAAGACTGTAGACTCCAAATATCTTTAGTTCAATAAAGAACATGGAGTGCCCAAAGAAGAAACCAAGGACTTGGCTTCTTGTACTAATTTTAACTTCATTACGTTCTGAAATTCCTCCTAAATTCCTACTTGTGATTGGGCCACAATTCCTTATGTTGTTCTATCTGAGGCCTTCCTATAACTAAGAGAGTACTGATATAAACTTATGCAAAATTTGAGTGACTGTCTCCACAATCACGATTCTCTAAAAAGTAGCAAATGGAACATGAAACCAAGAGGTGACATGGTCAGTAACACAGAGGAAGAATTAGTTTTGCAGTTCAGTTGTGATGAAAATGAAGACAGCTAAGGGAAAGTTTGAATTGTTAGGGATTAGAGAAGTAAAATGTGTGGAATGGCTTGTGCGCTCTTCCCTACGCCCTCTCCTGTGACAACAAGGAAAAGAACAATGAATGTGCATTTGTATTTCGATGGGGGGAGCTTGCTAGACTTATTCATTAGTCAGATAACTAGGTTCTTTATGTAATGACCCAAGGCTTCAATTTAGGACTCCATTAATTGTGTTAAGTAATATAGGATTTGGAATTTAACCTGAGTCAGTGTGGTCCTCCAAGGCAGCCTCAGCATCCCTTGAGAGATTACTGGAAACACACACACACACACACACACACACACACACACACACACACCTAAGTCCTGCTGAATTAGTCTCTCTGGGACCTGCATACTTGAAGTTTAACAAGCTCTTCCAGAATGACATTTGTTTCTGACAGCTCAAATTAGTGACACAGTAGTCCACATGTTATAATGTTTCTGATAGTAGGAACACACTAACCAGCACAGTTTGGAAGTATCTCAGTCCATGGCCTGCCTGATATGCATTTAGCAGTGAACCACTATTTCTGTTCGGAGTAACACAGGTGAACAGAAACCCTTAGTTAGTTTTTATTGGGAGTGTGTGAAAATGTGGGTCTTAAACCCCAAAAGGTCATGGTAAAGTTCTAAGAGTCTATTTACTATTTGTTTAGACCAGAAATTTCTTTTTTTTTTTTTTTTCTGGTTTGTTTGGGGTTTTTTTTGTTGTTTTTTGTTTGTTTGGTTTTTTCTCCGGTACAGGGAACCAAACTCACGACCTTGCGCTTGCCAGGCAGGTGCTTTGCCGCTGAGCTAAATCCCCAGCCCTAGATCAGAAATTTCTCAAGCATAGCATAGTTGATATTTCAGGCCAGACAGTTTGCCACGGGACAGGACAGGTTTCTCATCATGGTAGGAGCTTAGCTGCATTCCTGGCTTCCAGCAACTACATGTGAATAGCACCCGCATGTGCTCAATGGCTGTGACAACCAAAATTGTCTCCAAACATTGCCAAATGTTCCCTAGGTAGGTAGCAGGATGGAGGTGATATGAAATTATCTCTGGCTAAGAACCACTGTTCTGAACTTGATCCAGGAGGAACAGCTCAGGAGTGCAGTGTTTGCTTAGCATACATGAAACCCTGGGTTTGAGCCCCCAGCACTGGACAGAGAGAAAGAGAAGAGAGGAGAAAAGAGGAGAGGAGAGGGGAGACAAGGGGAGGGGAAGGAGAGGGGAAGGGAGGAGAGAAGAGAAGAGAGACAGGTGTTAAACTTAATCCATATTGACATAATCTTACGTTTCTCAAACAATTTATTTAGATTGTCAATTTTTTCCCGAGTTCTGCGACTTGTCATTCTGATGAGACTTTTCCATCTGGTTTATCAAAAAAGACATCTTGAAAAACTGACTAGAAGGCTGGTGAGTGGCAAAACACATCTGTTTTTGGTTTCGGGAAATCCTGCAAGGGTGTTCCCATAGTGTAGTGTTCTTTATTCCCATGTTGATGTATGTTTTACAAATCAATGATTGTTTTAAATTCCTAGGTTTCGGAAAACAAAAGACGATACCAAAAGGATGGATTTGATCTGGACCTCACTTATGTTACTGGTTTGTGAAACATAACTGTTGATTTATTTATTTTCATTTCACATGTCACTTGTAGGTAATATTTGCTTTTGGTTTTGCCTTGTCTAAGCCATTTTATTTCAAAGTATCCATAAAGATATATGCCGCTGTGGTGGTAAGATATTTGTAGCTTAGGCCTGGAGATAGAAAATCTCATGTCATTTCAAATCAAAGTTATTTGGTTCCACTAAAAAAGTGGAAAGGATATTCAGCTGACCCCATTATGGTCTGATTTAGAATTTATTGAATTCTAGTAGTTATCCTGGGTCCCATGTATCAGGGAGAGGCTTCTTTTCCTAAAATGCCAGACAGTGAGGTCACTGCTCTGAAGGTCTAAAGATTTTGGAGTCAAAAGTGCTAGAAAGTGCTTTGGGAGTTCCCAGTCGTCACTGGTGCAGACTTCTTGGTTTTTATTTGGTGTTTAAAGTATTAAAAACATTTCAACTATAGGTGGAGTCTAGACTGAGACCCACACAAATCTGTGGCATATGGCTAGAACCAACAGAATCTTAGAAGTATACAAGTTTAATGGTCACTATCTTGGATAATTTAATGTATTATCTTGATTATCCTGAGAATTAGCTTTTTTCTGCCAACCTCTATCTTGAAAGTTCTTTTCTATGAAAAAGCAGTCTGATTATATGTAGATCAAATTTTTGTATATTGTTTTACATCTATAAAGACATTTGTAAAAATGCTAACTTTGTAAAAGTGGTACCTTTCACTTCTAGATCGCATTATTGCCATGTCATTTCCATCTTCTGGGAGGTGGTCTTTGTATAGGAATCCAATTAAGGTAAGGATATTCAAGCTGGGTGTGGTGCAACACACCTGTCAGCCCAATACTCAGGAGGCTGAAGCAGGAGGATTGCTGTGAGTTTGAGGCCAGCCTGGACTACATAGTAAGCCCAAAGCCAGCCTGAACTACATGATGAGACCCTGTCTCAAAGAACCAAACAAAAAAGGTAGGGATATTCCTGTAACAAGTATTTATTTCTCAGTGAATGCAGACCGTACAGTCATAAGTTTAAAACTGACCCTGAGGTGGCAAAATTTTTCTAAAAGCTTACTCTTTCAAGGTAGAAAATCATAATGGATTGATATCAGTTTGCTCTTGTTATTTATAAACCATTCCAAAGCTTACTGACTTTTAAACAACCACCATTTATTTAGCTCATGATACTGTGGTTTTTGACTTTAGATTGTCCTTAACTGGTTGTTTCTGATGATCAGGAACTGGCTTTCCCACCTGCACTCACTCAGGCATCTATGGGGAGTTACTGGGTCATCAGAAGGCCAGCTAGTCTACATGGCTCTACACAGCGTCCCTCCTCTAGGGCAGGCTAGGTCAGCCTTGTTCACATACTGGCAGTGGCAAGGGTTCCAGGAATACAAGGAAAAGAATGCAAAGCCCCTTAAGATCCAGGCTCAAATCTAGTATAACATGGTATCTAGCTCCTTCTGTTACACAAAATAGATTACAAAGCTGGTCTGGATTCAAGAAGAAGAAAATAGAATCTATTTCCTTTTTTTTGTTTTTTTTTTTGTTTGTTTGTTTGTTTTTTCTCCGGTACCAGGAACCGAACTCTCGACCTTGCGCTTGCCAGGCAGGCACTTTGCTGCTGAGCTAAATCCCCAGCTCCTAGAATCTATTTCTTGATGGGAGGAAATATAAAGCATCATGGCCATATTTTATAGTCTGTGAGGGAGAAGGAAGTTCTGTAACTACAGTGTATTTAGATCGAAATCTAAATTATAGTGGAGTGACACTGCTTTAAACTGTGAGGATAACGAATTTTAAACATACAGTGTTGTTTACTATGAAATTCCAATTCAGTCATCTTTTAAGAAGTTAGTATCTATGTGCATGTGTAAGTTAGTGCAATGTATAGTAGTTATGCTTCAATAAAAACGTAACTATATAGCCAGCCATGAGGGTTCATACCTATAATCCTAGCAGTTTAGGAGATTGGAGTAGGAGGATTGCAAGCTTATATTTTGCCTGGGCAATTTGGTAAGCTCTTGAAAAGAAAGGAAGAAAAGAAGAAGGGAAGAAAGGAAGAAGGTTGAAGGGAAAGGAAGGGAAGGGAAGG